ACGCACACGAATACCCCTATCCCTCAGGACGGAGCGAGCCATACGCAACTGCATGCTTCTGTCCCAGTGGCTACTCATAACTCCTTGGCGGCGTAGATGCGCATAGCGACAGGCGAGATAGCGAAGCTGGCACGTACGCTGGTATCGGTCAATATATCGCAAGTGGTGTCTACTACAGTCAGCCGATAGAGGCTCTATAAGTCCACACGAATATACTATATGCTGTTACTATACGATTGGACGGTGGCAATTCTTTCTGCTCGTATCTCGTGCGCTACCCTGAGGAAACGAATGAAAAGAGATGAAAAGACGAGAGAGCGGCTCCTAGAGAGATACCAATCTTGCCTCTGTCAGTAGTCTTGGATTTTGTATGATTGATAAGTAAAATTGTCATGAGTGCTTATTACTTAACATATTATTATTCGATCGTCAGCCGCCGCTAATGAATGGCTGTCGGTAACGCGTTGGCCCCCCTTATATCCGATTACCACCTGCAGACAAAGGCTCTTATTTCCCGAAGGAAAAATATCTCTGCACGCGCATACGCGCGTCATCAACATCAGTCAGGGCATCAGTCATGCTGCCGGCTGGCAAGGTCCACGCACGGTAGCGAACGCTGATACCATCTCCCATTATCGTTCGCATCATTCATTAGCTACCAGCCTGGGATATCTTAAGGTTTCTTTATGCTTTTGAGGTAACTTTATGCCGACAATGTACAATAAAGCACAGATAATACTTACACCTCTACCACTCTGCTTTCTCTCTTGCTCCACTGTTCCGCGGCGAAGAGATAATCGTCGAGTAAAAGGGCAACCAGACCAACCTGAGGAATCTCCGTAGCCTGTACCATACTCATACCTATGTATACCTAGAGGGAGAGCTGCTCCAGGAGTTTCGCATGCACCAGCTAAACCGAAGGAGAACGCTGACTAATTGGTCGCCTTCCTCACGACTCGACGACCACGATCGAGAGCCGCCTCTTCGTGATCCGACTGCCAACGGTGCTCCTCGTTCGGTTCGCCGGGACTTTCTTGGCGAACCAGGCAGCAACGTTCAATTGCTACCTTTCTATGTGATCCTCGCGCGAGATCCCACGGACTGCCGGGATCTTCTTCTCTTAGGAGTCTACGTTCTATGGGCACGCCATCTGCATACGCCTGGCGCAGATTGCGCCGCGCAGATAGTGCGGATCTCTAACTTATAGATTCCGAGGTAACAACGAGTCGGCCTATTCTTTGCTTGCTGGGAGGATCGTTACCGCTAAGCAGCACCCGAGGGTATGCAGGTTATGCAGGTTATGCAGGGTATTGCACCATGGACTGTGTAGTAACGTGTTCGGCTATTGGCTCATCCATTACGAACGTCCCGTAATATTATAGCTTCCTCATTAGTACATGCAAATAAGACGGCAAAGTCTGATGATGATTACGGTCAGAGTTCGTATTGATCTCGGTCACTTGCTCTTTTGTGAATTAATAGCAAATGTAAGTTGTATTCGATATATATATTAAATGCTAAGATTGGTATTTAAGAAATTTTTAACTATTTTTTTTTTTACATATTTATTATTATAAGTAATATCAAGGGATCGGAGAGTCAAAATGAAATAGGTCTATTAGGATCTTTCTAACTATAAAAGAGATTAGGGGTATAACAGATATTATTTCATGGTAAGTAACACGTTGAACTGCGTGTAACGTATCTAAGTGGACGACTTACAATTAGATATAGACAGTCGAGAATTCAACGAATCGCGCGACAATAACCATGGAGGCATGTAAATGGGACATCAAGGATCCGAACGACAAAGGGGGCTTTATTAATTTTACTTGCTTTCTCGGTCAAGGGTGAAAGGGTCCAATACAATTTTCCTTTGAGAGTGGAAACATGTAATTTATCAAACTACCCGTAGCGACGCACAGAACTTTTTGTCGAATTGAGTTTCACGAAATTAGTATGTGTAATGAGATAAATCACGTTTACGTCCAAAACAGCTCTGAGCTTTGGAAATATGCTAAACTATCAGCCTCAACCTACTTCCATCGCGTATAGGCCATAGTAACATACCCCCGTATGCATATGCAACGTGCGTTACTGTCAGTGAAAAAAAAAAAAAAGAAAAAACTCAAATTTATACCCCAGTAATTTCGTGGTCCTTCGAAAAAATCACGGTTGACCGAAACAGAAAACTGCAAATTGCACTATTGAATGAGCATATAGGCTTACTAGTTGCAAATAATAAAGAATTTTTGCTGTTACATAAACCAACCCATCAACAAGGCAGTTCTCAGTTATTCCTAGTTCCTGAAATCGATCGAATTCCGAACGGTCGTATTTCGTGAGAACAATGAAATCGATGGGTAATAGCCTTAAAGATGAGGCTCGAAACAGGTACTACAAACCAGCTGAAATAAATTTCCAAAGAAACTAATAAATTAATATATGAATATTTTTCATCGACTTCGAGTCTCACTCGTTACTACAGTACCCGTTACTATATAATAATACGCGTTCTGTTCCCTTGTATAACCACAATACATTATTGTATTATTCCAGCAAGAAATAAAAACCAGTGCAATAGGTAGTTGTGGTAGTATCTTTACAAATAGCGTAGCTTTTACCTGACGATAAAGCTCTGCAATTTTCCGTAATACACCATGGAAAATTGCACGTTCCTATCGGTAACGCAAACAAATACCAGCACATACTACACTAGGAACGCGAGTAAAAGCCTGTATGGGTATATTAATCTTTTTCTCCAATATCAATACGTTATCGAAGCCTCTCAGGACCCATGGTGAGTTGTACCATCTACGTACGATATATTATCAAGCAGCGCTCGAAGATTAGTTTGCGGCCATCGAATGAACTAACGAAATGACATCGAAATACCATTTCCACTGGTTGGCGATAGTATACAGAAGTGTGGTCCGTTGCGAGCGGCGATTTTGTTTTGAAATAAATGACCAGTGAAACCGGATAGGGTAGTGTCTCGTATCAATTTCTATAGCTACGCAGGTATACATATATTTGTATACGTGATATAGATTAAGCGAGTGATCAATATTTTCCCAAAGAACTCTTCCACCCTCAGGATGAGTGGATGGTAAATCATTCTGGGAGCGTGCGGCAACCCCAACTGTTTGAAAAGCATCAACTCCTGGATTCATATAGTATAGGAATCTCCTATTCCCCTTAGCCAGTATCGTTCACCACCCTTAGGTATCCAGCCTTCATCCTATGGGTCCATTTAACTCTGTAGGTTTACTTCGAGCTTATGGATGTATATAAACTGTATACTATACCTAGTAGACCTAGATCATTTTCATGTTTACACGTCGCTCCGCATAGTTAGATATACATCCTTTCGTTGGATTTCCGAGGATATTTTAGCTCCTCTTCAACGTTGAAAACGAGGTAAATAAGTTTCTGCTTTAAAGATGACTACGAAATTCCGACTCTTGTTTGTAAGAGATTGTATATATATACACGTACGTGTGACAGCAATATTTATCTGCTGGTATATGCATACATATGTATAAAATATGAGAAACGAAGAAAAATGAGAAATATATATATACACGTGTAATATACAATACATTTACTACCGTAAGAGTGTGGAAACTCCGTAACTCGTATCTCACTTGCCTGTACTTTATTCGTAGAAATTTCAAATAAAGTAAGATGGATATCGCATAAGATCGACAATCCGTTATTTAGCGGCGATATCTATACTCCAACAAAGCCGAATTCTTATATCCTTCATATATGCGGGTTTCTCGTCTCGTACGATCATTAGACAGAATTCCCGCGTGCCACCCAACGTGAAAATATACCTTAAATACTCAGATTATGATTAGCGTCTCTGTATGGAATCGTAAACACAAGCCGTGATGAGGCGCCTTGCTGTTTTTTATTAAAGGAAATTTAAATTCTCAGAAGCTATTTTTGAAACACGAGAATGTTTTACCTACATGACCATTTACACGAGTGATCTCGAGATTAATAATTTTCTATAGAATTTACAGCGTTATCACTTATCAGAAACTAATAATTTTTGACACGAGAGATCTTTATGCTATAGAGATCTACTATAGTTATGTCTGATCTTAAATTACGCTACACGTTATCATTCAGCATTCTAATCAAGAGATCAACCCTCCTGCTATCGCCGGAAGTTTCTCGTAAAATTCTACTAAACCAGAAACGAGCCTATTTTTCAGCAGTCGCGTTTAAGGGCCCTGCTAGCAGCAACGTGAGAAAGAGTCTGTTGAATAATTCTGGGATATTATTTTACCATACCGACGTTTTTTAACCTCCGTTCTCGCAGCTGTTGCCAAACAGCTGTAATGGCAATGATCGAAAGAACCTTCCATTAACTCCCTCACCGGGAAACGTAGTGCCCTGAGTTTTCGGGCTACACTCCAAGCGTTCAATTTTATTCATTTTCCTCTCTTTTTACCCTGTACCCCTTTTTTTTAAAACTTTTTCTTGCCCAAAGGTTCTACCTCAACGAGGGTTACCAGATACCACGCGTTTACGGAATTCCGTATACCTTTCTCATCTTGGGATAATTTCTCGCTCGTGCCACGTCCGCACGCGATTTTAAGTTGCACCGTTCTTAAATCGACCACCACACTCATTTGCATGCCATCGTTATTCATATAGTCATATAGATAATATAGATGAAACGAATGGTTATCTGCTAGTGAAAAAAAAAAAAATGATTTAACCAAAAAAAGAACAGCTTTCACACGCTGTTGGTGTAAATGCGAATTTACCTTTTATTCAAATATCTCTTTATATTTCCCATAATATCATTTATCTACTTGAGAAAGTATATACAGAATTGTGCGTACACCTGTCACGAAGCTGCGTATATCACTGAGGTATTCGTTGAGGTTTTCTTCAGGTTTTTTCTCGATATTGATTATCCCATCAGCCAAGGGTTTATGTAACGTTAAAGTGAAAAACCACTAAACGTAAATAATCCTTGTACACCTGCGAATTCTATCGCTATGAAATCACACGACAGCCGGCAACCCTTGAAAAAAGATTGGATTATCAACATATAAATACATAATTAGATAGTCGTGTTATTATTCTAAGTGGCTACGAAGGTCAAATCTCATTCTAATAAAACGTTGTCTCTTCTGTCGGAATATCGAAGCGGATAGATATCGGATCCTTGATGTCTCGGCAGGAGGGCCCATCTTTCCAGGAAAGACGCTCAGGTCGCTATCGTCACTGGCATGAACCCGTTCCTGGTCATCAATCATCATAAGGCAATCGATCTGACGCGATTGGTCCGGCGCGATAGAAGCAGAAAGAAAATAAGAGAAGGTCGTTGAATTAAAAAAAGAAATGCGAGAAGAAGCCAAGAGCGATAAAGAGCGATAGGGTCGGGCTAAGATTCGGCTTGTAATTGTTGGGTAATTATGACAGCCGTCTAGTGACAGGAGGACTCGTCTATGTGGAAAGACGAGAAAGACGCTGTGGGAGCCGGTTAGGTAGCCTCTACTATCCATTGCTCAACTCCTGGTGAGTGCTTTTATCGTCAAGTCACAGGGTATAATGTATGCAACGATCATATAGACTCAATCGTGTTAAATTGTCGTAGAGTTGGCAGTATTGACGTCGCTGAGTTTTCATCCTTGTAGATGTGACTTAAACGTTCTGACTTGGTACGATCGATCAGGTTGGAATCTCAATGGACAAAGATGTGAATGGCACTTGAGAGACTTTGTGTTTACGCAAAGTCCTCTTCATCCACTCGTTCTATCCTTGAAGCCAATAGAGCGTAATTACGTAAGTACTTGGGACGTTCCTTGAGATTTTTGGAAGTTAGCGGAATTAAGCTAAGCTACTATCCTCGTGACAAGAGGAATAAATGTATTATGGTTTGTTGCGCTCTTGATCTCTCTTGGACCGATCGCAGGGACTTTTAACGGAACAGATCGAATTGTTGATGAATCTAATTTTTTTTCGGTACGAATCGATCGAGTGAAAATTTTCTTATCGGGTAAACTCTGTTGATTTGATTTATAGTAACTTTCGATAAGGAGTGACTCGAAACGTGGGATTTTAATTTTTCTAGTTATATTTTTTCCCTGGAAACTTTTTTTTATTTTCTTTTTTTGTTATGAATCATTGCACCGGCGGCACTCATTCGCCATATGTTGCCAAGAGCGCAGCATCGCTAGTTCCCGTCCTCGATGGATATATTAGATACAGATATAGAGTACCACGGTAGCGTCTGAATCGATTTTGGATAAAAGTAAATAACCGACGGCATCTTGAGGGAGGTTTCGGGTGGTTGAGAAAGGTATGAGATGGTTGAGGGTGGCTCGGCGTAGTCGAGGGCAGAAGCGTAACGGTGAAGGGTGGAGGGTAAAGTTGATATCAGGAACGGAGAAGGTTGAAGGTGGAAGGTGGAAGGTCCCCCGGCGCCTATATGAAGCACTCTGACTCTATGGCCTATTTGCGAGATGGCATGGGGCAGCTGACATTCTAGAATTTATTCTCTTCTTCGCGACTCTCTTCTCTCCTCGTCGTGTCCCACCCAGCGAAATTACAGCGCGCTCACTCGAGCCTCGAGAACCCTCGATTTGGATTCGCCAAGGGTGCTTACTTTCATGGCTATTTATACGACACTCCTTAGCATCGCGAGGGCACCCGGCTCAGATATTAGCGTACGCTAAGTAGATATTCAGCAAAAATCCGAATGTTCTAGATCGATGAAGTATTTCCTGATTCGGATTGGTCCCAAGTCGATGCGCGTCCCGGAAGTGCGGCTGACGTCACTAAGAATGAAAAAAGGAAGATACGAAGAAATAAGAGAAGCAATTTGGTTAATCAATTCAGCGAGGCATAAATACGTATGTAGCTATCACTAAAATGTAGCTACTGTCATCTTGGTAAATAATGTATTTGAGAGACGGTACTGTTATCTCGTGAGTTATGGTGGAAATTTTTCAAAAGTCTAAGAAAACGTTGCCCCGGGCTTCCGGCCTCGTGTTATGTTACTTTATGTGCCACTGGCTCACCGCTGAATGCAAAGCGCGGCTTTTCCCTTATCTTCTCTTCTCGACTGGCGCACGAGGACTTGGTGCAAAAACGAAGAGTCCTTCAGGACTCAACGTAGCGGCGGCAGGGACGGCAGGGCGGCTATAGTTACGGCGCTAATGGAAATGAGCCCTGTCGTTGACCCCGTGCTTTTTAGTAAAAACTGTTTTTTACATGCTGCTTTAGTCAAATGGTTTATTCCACCTGCTTTTGCATTTCGTGTGTATACGTATTATTATACTGAACGTATAATGAATTCAAAACGGACTGATTTGATTAAAATTTTTTGTATACAATAGTCTCAACTCACAGATAGAACTTCGTCAAATAATTGATAATAAATTCGGGAATTTCGTAAACCCATCATAAATATATAATACCGCCTATTTGGTTCTCCTGAATATATAACGTTTAGTTGGTCAGTGCTTTTCGTTACGCACATTGATTTATTTAATGGATACGTCCGTTAAACCTCGTTGTAGAAAATATCGATTGATGAACGTTACTTTTTATCCTTATGATTACCGTTTTTAATAGTGATAGTTTGTGTGTAGGTCACGTGATAAAAATTTTATAATTTTTCAAATGCCACCTGTATATATGAAATTTCGAAAAATATCAACATTTTTTATTTATCGAATATAAGCTATAATATAGAATATGGTATAGTACAATGATGGTGACTGTAGATAAATATCATTTTATGGAATACGTCAATGAGTACCGTTACGCAAGTCGAATCATCAACCAAAAAAGTAATAGCCATATATTTCATCATTTTATGATCTATAAAATTAATCGAGATAATAATAACCTTAAGTAGTAAATGCCTGAAATACATTTCCTTCGACAGAATCGGACTTACGTATATATGCCTGTAGACAGAGAACTGAATAAACATTGTCATTAAGGATTACGTCACGTTCTGTAAAAAGTAATAAAAGTTGTAGTTGAAAGTGACAAGTCACTCTTCTATTTTCCATAATTCTATTCCCTGAAATATCGAAGTTAATACAACATCTCATATTCTGTACTTTGTACTCTAGGGAAATTAACAATGCGATTAGTATTCATTGTAATGCCCTTAATCCAGTACCTTTTGATCGTAGAAGTCGCGTGTCAAGTCCACAGACTGATTCGTGAATGATTAATTTAAATCGAATAACTTCGCACAATGAAGATACCAAAATGTTTCGACCCGACGTGCTTGTGGCTTCTATAGTGTACTTTAATTTCCAGCAAACTGTCACAATTCCATTTTCTGCTACAGTATAATAAAGCGACGTCGTTTTCCAGAAACCAATTTCAGACAGTTCGCGAGACAATTTGCGATGGATTTTGTACAGTGAAGAAAAGTCGTGGAGCACGAGAAGAAAAGCAAGAACCGATTTATCTATAAAAGATCTTGGGTAAGGAGTGTCCAGGAACAGTGAGAAAATATTTTCTGACGCCTTCTCCTTACTTACCATTATTGTGCAGTTGTAGGGTTACTCGAAGAATGAGATACAATCAGGTAGTCCCGTAAAAATATATCATCCACAAAGATTCAGGATTATTATCCAATAAACACGGAGCTATTTAATAAATAAAATCATCGGACATCTTATGGTAAAACACATAATTTCTCGAATACTCATCCTTTTCCATCGCATACCAATAACGTGTCCGTTCAAACTGACTACGTATAAAACGATTAAACCTGGGAACATGACTCCAAAGAAAAGCCAGGAAAGAACGTCATCTTAAAAGACAAACGTACCGTTATGGAACACAAATCGCGGACGTATTTTATAAACCGATCATACTTAGCACTTGGCGCGGTCCAGTGCGTTTGCGTGCATTCCCGTGGTATTTATATCCACCATTAACGTGGACCGTGACCCCAACCAGGAATGGGTACATATAGTACTCATACCTCTTTATTGGTCGGGAAGTCGAGTGGGCTGCAGATCCAGGCGAAAGAGAGGAACGAAGTAGAGACGAAGAATAAGCTGTGTATATATATACATACATCTATGTATATTTATCTATGTAGAGAGTGTGAGGGAGGGGGGAGGGGATTGATAAGGAAAAGGTGAGAGACAGAAAGCCGCAGTAGTAGACCCGACGCCCAGGAGTGTAGAAGCTGCTGGAGAGATTATATAGACGAGAGAGGAAGAGGGATGCTGGAGAGAAAGAGGATCCAGGAGAATCTGGACGCCGGAGGCCTCCGCTCAGCTCGCCTGGTATTCGGAGCGTGTCTGATTGTCTCCTCTTCTAGCATCCTCCAACGGCCCTTTGCTGGAGCCAGTTCACACAGCAGACGGAAGGACAGGAGGACAGGAGGACAGAAGGACAGGAGGACCGGAGGACAGAGGGTCGGGACGCTACAGGCTGAGATTGCACTGCACTTCAGACTTCAGACGCTACAGCGCTAGACTGTCTGGCGAAGAGCATTTTAGTTTTTCGCTAATAACGAGTGTGTAGCCACGGATATAATGATTGCACAGCATTACCGTCTTCTTATCTCTCAGGATTCATACGTCTATGGACAGTCATACTTCGGTTGGCTTGCCTGATTCTTCCGACGTTCGTCTTCGAGTACCTCACTTCCTGCCGTCTATTGATGACCTTGGGATTTGACCTAGCGCATATAGCTGTGAACTCACAAATAGCTTTACGGAAGAGGCTTTTGGATACTGATGGATGACTGATCCCTGGTGATGTATATCGAGGTTCCAAGACGGACGGTATAGTCGGGAAAATAAGACGTGGGACGCAACTCTGAAACGTTTCCACTCGAATTTACTAATCTGGGAATGGTAGCAGAGAAATTGAGTATTGGATACGTCAATGTGGAGCAGGATTGTCAGTGCTGGTACGGTACCGTTTGAGCTCCGTGGATTTATGGTCAGGGTGATGTATGGTGATCTTTGGGAACGAGTGCCATTGGTTCTGAGAATGCCTAATTAAGGGCTAAAAATACTCCGAGTACAAAGCCTTGGGTCCAGGGACACAGGGGACCGCTCCAATGCTGCCGAGGTGGGTGCGAGCAACGAGAGAACGAAAAGTCTGGCCGGTATCGCTGCGGAGATCAGCGAGGCATTGTAAGAGTTGTAAATAAATCCTTAATGATCCCCCCAACTAATTATACGAGTCCAGGAGACACTGGGTATATCTTATAACCGGCACATGGATCTACGGCCAATTAGTAATTAATAACGACGTAGGGCGACGACTTGCTTGTCGCCTTGATTGTATTCAATTTCTATACATTGGAAGGATTTTTTAAGTTGCCTAATTTCATGCTCAGAAGTACATGCGTTGCATCGCGTCATTATACTGTTACGCGGTAACACGAGAATGTTCCTATGGCTATCGAACGATTTAATTGAACGTCCGCCTTTATATTTTCTAAACAATCGTTTAATCCTCTTGTACGTGGATTTTCGGATGATCCGCGTAATTCGGAGATGACTTTTTTCTCCCCCCTCCTCCTCCCCCCTTTTCTCTTTTAATTCGCCACTGTATTGACGGGGGCATCCCATCCATCAGTTTTAATACGTTTATCGCCCGTAAACAACTTGGGTATTCAATTATTCCAACCCCCAGATTTACAGCGTCATCATCCAATATTCATGCCGAAAATTGGAACAGCTATAAATTTTACATAATTCGAAAACAAGAGCAGGGCCACGCTGTAGAAAAACGACCTGCGGCGGGCAGCGCGCGAAACAAGCGCAAAAGCGTTGCCCACCGGCCTTAAACATATTCATAACATGGGCATAACACACAGTATGTAACATCAATGCGCCTATCAAATAACCGTAAAAAGATAATGGCCTGATAATACGACGGAGCCTACACTACGTATGATAGTGACTTATTCGCCGTGCCGATAATAAATTTCACTGTCGGCGCACGATCACTTTCCGTATACCCTTTGTGCGTTCACTTCTCCTTTACAATTATTTCCAATAGCCCGTCGCCGAAAGATACGGCACCACGCCATGAAAAATTATTAACCCCATTAATTTTCTTGCTCCCCTTTATCCACCTGGGTATACCTATAACCCCGTGTCGCGTATTGAATTAGCTGAGAAAAAATAACAATCACCATCCGCTAGTCATTTTTTATGTTTCATATAAATTTTTTTTTATTTTACAGGTAAGCTGCCCCATTGATTCCAGACAGTCATTTTCATCGATTTCTACATTGGTGAGCGCAGCTATCATATTGACTGAAGAATTATTTTATATCCGATGAGAAAAAAAGTCCAAATCTGAATGGAACTTTTGAGAGAAAAAAAAAAAGATTATTTACCCATTAAAGGTAATTAATATACGCGTGTCGTGTCTTGTGTGAATATTAATTAGAAGTTTAATCGAGTTATAATATCGCAGGTTCTTAAGAATCTATGCTACCCGTAGTTCCTTTCTAAACAATTGCACTAGTCTTACGTAGTGTTTACACGAAATTACTTAGGAAGTTCCTAGGGAGTGTGACAGGTACATTTTCAGAGCACTGAAGTATAGTTACACGAAGAAGTGCACGGGAGAAAACCAGGTAAGTCAATTAAAGAGAAGACACCTGACTCGAACCTCGTTTCAAGGTAAGAATATACACTCGAGTCAGAGTGTCTTAGTCATTTTCTAATCTTACGAGTAGCCCAAACTCTCTTCGAGGGTGCACTCGTTCGTTGAGCAGTCACGGACGCACTACGTAATCACGCATCCAATCACGCAGGTGGGTACAAGAAGTCCATTCATATTTTCGAGAACTCGTAAAACCAAACAGCTCCTCAACCTCTTGGCCTGCATCGGTGAGATTATCCTCCATTATGTAAATATAGCTCGACGCGTGTGAGCACATGTGTTGCGCTGGTACTCCTCATACTGTATCTAAAAAAAAAAACCACGTGTCGAGATGAACTTGCTAGGCGCCTCCTGCTACTATACCTATCAGGAATCACTGTACGATGCTGAGATATAGCCTAAGGTATAGGTATCTACGAGTACATTGCACGTTATCGATGCCTTCCTGACAGTTTCAATATTATTTTTCCCCATCTGTATGATCTTACTAGTTTCAGATCTGCAGTAGATCGAAATGCAAACTGATTTGTATATTGAATAATATGACCTTAAATCACGTATTTTAGAATTTTTGTATACACGACGAAAACTCGAATTTCTTATCGATCGATTACCAATTGTAGTTTGCTGTAATCAATTCATAAGTTTTACTGTTGATTCTTTTCCTTTACTTTTATCTTTATTGATTCGAGACGTAAAAACATTCGACTGTATTTCTTTGTGTGTTTTATTAGGCTGGACCAGCACACGTATTTTGAGCGTAACAGATGATCAACAGCAGTGCAAGTCGCGTTGAAGAGTAGTGCCAAGAAAGGATGTAGGAAAGGAAAAATTGTGGAAACGGAAGGAAGCACGTATAGAAAGGGAAAAGAGATCAATAAAAAAATCTTGTGAAATGGACCCTTCTTCGCCCATTTCTTGCTTGACGAAATTCGGAGCAGGTTACACGTAAGGAACCACGTTCGTCACCGGAAGCGAACCACGTTAACCGTCGATCAGCGCCCAAAGTGTTCCCGACAGAGGTGATTAGAAGTTACTGGGTGACTGTAAGTGCACCCATACACCAAGTGGAGTAGCACAATCGATCTGACAATAGTCGGTTCACGCAGATAGAAAAAATAATTGTGAAATTGTTAAGAAGGCATGAATAACGTGTACGAATTTATTTTTCGATATAAACAGTATTACCAACCTATCGACGTGATACTAAACATACGTATAAGTAATTCCCACTGTCGATTCCACCTTTATAATTATAACTCACAATGATAAGCAGGAAAATAATAAGGTAGAATTATCAAGACTTAAATCACGTTCTGTATTTTTGAGATAATAATCATAGTCAATTTTTAATTGAACAATAGATAATAATTAGCCATAGTTAATCAAGCAATGTTAACGTGAAATGTACGCGCGAGCCTGCTAACGCGTAAAGCAGCGTAAATAAACTAGTTTCGGTTATCCCGAATCCCCTCTTCAATTTCGCATATAAACTATTTGCGCAACCCTCGAAATTACTGCATAAGCATTGTAAGCGTTACGCGCAAACCGGTTTAAACTTTAAACTAGACCGCGCGCAGATTGCGAATAACTACTTCAGCGGAATAATGCATCTACCTTTAGATAATGCCGCTCCGGTACGTAAGTCTAGTACGTAACGTAATATAACCTATTTGTACGTATATCTGTATATACCGTATGACTGGTATAGTCGCGATAGGTGTATACCGTAGTCGCATCCATTTCGCTCGAAAGGATACGACATTGGGAATGAGAGGAATAGGAGAGTCTACATTGCTCCAGGGGTTCGCTATATACATATGTATGTTTATATACCCAGTAACGAGTGGAGCAACAGTACGTGAATGCATATGGTATATTGTGCATGTGTGTTAATAGTTATACGTATGCCTATACGTATATAGTCACGTCTAAAGGATCCTTTAGGGAAGTCCGTGATGATTAGTATAATATATGTATATTATATGGTACAGCATATAATATATCCAGTCGAGAAGGCATCTGCGTTCGGGAATGTTCGGGTGCATTCGGGTTCTTAGGGGAAGTTTCTATACCTGTATACATATAGGCATAGTCAGCGTCTGCTACGAGATTTCACGTATCTACGTGCTGCTTCGGGACATGGGAATATGTGATATGCCAGACAGCTAGCAAGCCGAAGAAGAGTGTCCGGGCGTGCCAGGACAATACTGACGGAACGCTTTGAATCCGGTCTTGCCAACCTTGCGGGAATGTAGGTACCTACTTTGCCGAAACTTCAGGTGCCTATCGCCTCTTCAGATCCCTTGAGAATGTGAGAGAGGGACGACGACGTGGGGAGTGGAAGTAGGGGAACTAGAGAGGGAATGTAGATACGTCGTCAGTGGGATATGACGTGTACTGTAGAAGATTGTATATCGCACTTTGAATCTCCACAAGGGCGGAAATCGAGTTTTCCAAATTTACTTAAAGAACGCCCTTAGACGCCGACGACGCTTTTATATACCTACACGTGGATTTCTACTTTCGTCCTTGACTCTCGTATTTTGTTGGTTATCGTCGTCTCGATGGATTCTCTTTTCGAATTGAAGAAAGAAAAAAAAATTCATGGAGATCATCCCAGAAAGGTTCGGTATTCTTCATACTTGAAAATGGGTTAAGTATGATGTACTTTGTAAATAATACTTTTGACTTTGTCAAATTTTCCTGGAAGTATGTATATCCGTGTATGTTCTTGAGCGAGTCAATACTATCTACTGTTCTTTTTCTTGGAGATACTCGATTTTCTATACTTGGGGG